TGATCATAATCCTTCCTTCTTGTTTGAACCCATCTATTAGAAGCTCATATCATTTCAGTCCATTATAGCAAGATCCAACTTGGATTGAACATCATCGGTTCTCTCATCTCCAGATTCCTCTTGCTTCCTTTTTTGTTGTTCTTGTACATCCTAGTGATGAAAAAATGGAGAGGTTTTTTTTGTTCATGTTGTGTAGATGCGTAAACCTATGTGAGTTTAGATCGAAGTGATGCATACAAGACAGACCGGAAGGTTCCTTTGTAACACATACAAGAGCCGAAAAAAAAAGAACAATGTGATAATGACAATGAATGATGAGACCCAAAGTAGGAACGAGCAATACAAAGTGATTTGCAAACAGATCAGACCAGAGCAAAAAAAGAAAAGAAAAATAAATGTGATGGAAATGAACCATTAACTAGGGTATATATTGGGGCATATAACTCTGATCAGAAGAAGAAGAAGAAGAAGAAGAGGCAGCGAGGAGGAGATTAGTAGGCGTGATGAGTTGCAGATGATCCGGGGTTTGGTCTGTGGGAGGGGGATCGAAGAAGTTCGTGAACGGGGGAACAAGATGGTGGTCGACCAACTGGTTGAACTCTTCGAGGATGAGATCGTAGTCGACGGACGACTGAGGCGGCGGGGGCAGGATGAGGGAGGATTGGAGCAGAGACAGTTGATCAGCAGGCTCGGTCCAAGCCGAGTGAACGGAGAAGGAAGCCGGATCGTTATGGAAGACGATCGGCTCAGAAGCGGGGGGGAGGCTTTGCCAGGCCGGGAGTCCGTTCCCGTCGGTCTCCGTATAGTGTCTGCTGGTTGGAGTCCGATTAGGAGCGGCAAAGTTGGTGGCATGTTGGAAGTGATGAGGATGCGGCTCGGAGGTCGAGAAGCTAGTGAACATTTCCGGTCTTGCAGGCTCATCGACCAATGGATACGGCGCAGGCGTCAGAGAGTCAAAGCTTTGGTAGGGATTGAACGACGAATGGTTGTGGGTCGAATAGGAGGATTGGCATTGCAACGAGCTCGTCCGGAGGAGGGTTGAGGAGGGCTGTTGCCACCGGTCATAGAACCCAGAGTAA